AACTGAACTGCTTTCTTGAGATCCTACTGCGAACCTTGACAACATGGCCAATGCAGTTCACATTCCAGAAACCCGGCCTGCTGANNCCTGCGCTGCTGGCTGCGCGCATGGTTGGATCTTCTGGACCCTCTGCAGAGGCTGCCTCATCCAAGGGCGCTTCGTCCGAGGCCGCTTCGCCGCGTACCTGCAGCAAGCAATGATTCCGACGGTGCCTAGGACTGGACTGCTGAGAGGGACGCCCAAATCCCTCAAAATTAGGAAGGATCCAGCAAACGTCTGGGAGTGCATCAGGCAAGCGGAAGGGTGCGGTGCACACTTCACACGCCATCCAACGCTTCAAGTGCATGCGAACGCATGCAGCGGTTTGAAGCTCAGCTCTGGAAGAAGCAGCTGAAGCATCCGTCGGCCTGTGCCTTGCTCGACATCATGTCTGCTGCCGACTGCGACGGCGGCTGCGCCTTCGCTGCAAAGAGATGTGACACCTTCCAAATATTTCCCAATAAAGCCCATGCGCCCTATCAAATCACCTAATGAGCTTCACTGGCCAATGTCTAAATCATGATTCCCAACGGCATCTGGGCCATGATTGCATCCTCCGATTGTAGGTCCACTTTTTGTTCAACAAGATGAGCTTCACTGTTCCAATGTCAGGCTTCATCGAACCTCCGAAGGCACTCAGCGACACTGGACGTCAATGTGAACGAGCAGGTCGGCAAGAGTACTAGATACGCCCCTCCTTACTTCCAACTGGCCACTGCTGCCCAAACAAGATCTTGGGATGTTCTGGGCATCAACTCACCTGGCCTCCTGTGGCTCTTCGGGACTGGCCTCCACCGAAACACAACCCAAGCTACCTTCGTCAAAGCTAACTTCGTGTCTAAAAAGCTGCCACCTTCCAGGAATAAAGGCTTCGGGGCTAGTGGCTAATGCTGAACACGAAGACTCCTTAGAATGCCCTAGAACCTAAAGTTTTTCCTTCACAACAGAGAAATAGTCCGCCCTTTGATGACAGCCACGGGAAGGGCTAAAGCAACCAGCATACTGCTCATGTACGCTGATCATCGGACCACATCGGAACCAGCAGTTGCTTACCATTTCTGGAGGGAGGATATGAGGCATCTAAGTTTTGACCTTATTCTGTGGAGGCCTCGTTTTGCAGTCGCTAACTCGGCCCCGGGCGCCTCGCTAAAGGGCACCTGTCTGCTGCACATATCTGAAACTTTGGGGCTCGGCATCTCACTGGTGTACAGCTATGTGCCGTCGGCAAATGGCAACTCATGTGGCGAACACCTGTTGACATGATGTGGACCACGATACCGTCACATACACGTGGGCCCACGGTTGGGTTTGCGCGGCATCCTCTCACCGTCATATAGTGCTCCGGTCACACTCTACAGAAATGGCGGAGATGATGTGGCAACACTTGGCCCATATCACGCTTGCAGCGTGTGGCATGTAGCCCGTCTTTCATGTGATCCACTCTGACTCATTTCACCTAATGATCCTGATGACGTCCTCTCAACGTCACTCAAGCCGCTATGACCCGCAACGCAAATCCCTGTTGTGACAGCACTGTGAACCTTGACAACCTTCGCAATGACTCACACTTCCACAAAACCCGGCCTGCTGATCCTGCACTGCTGGCTTCGCCGCTGGCTGTGCGCATGGCTCATCTTCCAAGAACCCTCTGCAGAGGCTGCCTCAGCCAAGGGAGCTTCGTCCGGGGCCGCTTCGTCGCAGACCTGCCGCAAGCGACAATTCCTAGCGCCCTAGGGTGTCTAGGACTGGACTGCTGAGAGGGACGCCCAAACCCCTCCTCAAAATTCAGGAAACATCAAGAAACTTCCAACAAACGTCTGGGAAAGTGCTTATCTCGCAACCGTGCACACTTCACACGCCATCCAACGCTTCAAGTGCATGCGAACGCATGCAGCGGTTTGAAGCTCAGCTCTGGAAGAAGCAGCTGGAGCATCCGTCGGCCTGTGCCTTGCTCGACATCATGTCTGCTGCCGACTGTGACGGCGGCTGCGCCTTCGCTGCAAAGAGATGTGATACCTTCCAAATATTTCCCAATAAAGCCCATGCGCCTTACAACTTTCCTGCCTGAATGCTGATGTTAAGCGGTCTGCTGCCTACAGGTAAACAAGTAGCAAAATAAGAGTCGTTTTCGGGGAGATCCCAAAACTAAAATTCGAGGATATATAATGGATGTAACTAAGTTGCAGGATGTTGCAGGACAAGGTCAGCAATGGTCAGCAGCTCCCGCACCTGAATCCAAGCCATCCGTCTTCTGCAGACGACTTGTCCAATCCTGCCAGGGCCACACAGGGTTCAAGGCTGATTTCATGGGACCCTTTTCCTCCTGCCAAGGGTGTGGGGTTCAGGGCTCACTGGCTGGAACCAACTCGCTCACGAGACAGGTGATGCTTCACGCTTGCCATCTGTCTGCAGTGGTGATCCATCTTCTCAACTCTCCAGTTCGGATCAAACAAAAAGCAAAAGGTTACATGACAGCCAATCTCACATAAGACCTAAAGAACATTATGGAACCCTGTATCTGCCTGTACAATCTCGTTTGTCATCGTATCACCAACACCCAAAACTCCGTAAACTTTGGGAACGCGGGGACGGCAGGATCAAAAAGGCCAGAAATCCCACCTTGAGTTTCGGTGAAATGGAACTCTTAAGAGCTTTACTTTCAAATCCTTCAAGGTTCATTAAATCATATTAAAGCGCTTGCCCCATGGTCACACATCCTAGCGCCTGAACCCTTACAATTCAAAACCAGCTAAACCCCAAACACTTTACGCTTATTAAACCTATGAAGCACTCAATGGAGTTGTTTGGGGCTTAGGCCGCAGAAGCCTTGAGCTCCGCCCGTAGCCGACTGCGCTGCTTTTCCTGGCAAGGCCAGTTTAGGGTGCGGGGCTCAGGCTGTAGAGTTGGGGACTGAAGTTAAGGTTTTCAAGCTTGGGGCTTGAGGTGAAATCATTACTGTTTGCCGCCGGATACCAACATCAGTGCTAGTCGAACAATTCTCCCCTGAGTTCTAGTTCATACTAGGCAACCTCCCCCCAACCGTCGGGGGGCTTCTTGCAGCAGACAAGATCTGCCAATGAATCTTCTTCTACATGTTGAAGTCAGACCACCGACAAGCAAAATTGGAATCGTTCAGAGACCCTTCACTGACTGCGTATAAAAGCCATGTTCCCACGGACCCGAGAAACAATGCCAAATCCTCATTTCGGGACGCTTGAAGGAAGTGCTGGAAAGAGCTTTCATCAACCCACGAACCAGAACAAGAAACCCTGCATACTTTTGAAAACTACACATTGCCCCCTGTACAAGTCGTGGAAGGTCCCCGCCAGCCTTAGATTGGCTGTATACGGATGATAGGGTTCGCCTCGAAGGTTCAAATTCCATACGGCCTCTTCTAGGAAACCCCCATACAGAAGCAGGATGGGCGGCACCCATTGGCTGAGGAAGGCCGCAGTGCCGGAGCTCTCTACAAAGCGCCTTTCGCAGATGGTGCACCCCAGCTACCTTTCAAATCCCCTTACCCCTCACATTCAAGTTGAGGACCCCATGGTACTGAATGTGACCCCTTTAAATGGGGGGGAATACGGAATGTGTGGGGGGCCATACATGCCCACCAACTGTTCTCTGCAGGCTTCGTATGTCGTGCCATATGCCCTTCTACATGATTACTTTAAAAAGTCTCCACCGCCTTTTGAAACACAGCGTGCAACAAAAAATTGCATCATGAGCGCATGCAACAAAAACATCTTGACTGTATGAAAATGAAAGCGTTCCATCTTGATTCCCGTCCTTTCACAGCGGTGTTCAAGGGGTTCCATGAATGCGGGAAACCAAGTGCTGGACATCCACGTCCAAAATGCGATCTGCAATTTCATCTCAACAACGTACAAAAATCTTCGTCAGCTTTAACACTCCTCTAGAGAACCTCAACAGAAACTGTGGTTCGATCAACGTGTAGCTATGAAATATAAGAGGCGTCACGATCTAAAATTGCCCCGACTGTCACCACAACCTTGAAAGCTTTGAAGGATCAGTTCCACTGGAAACTCTTGAGTGGTAAGTGCTGCAAACAACGTAAAAAATGCAAATGACTCTTCAGCATGTAAGCACCAATGTCCAAATCATGATTCCCAACGGCAACTGGGCAATGATTGCATCCTCCGATTGTTGGTCCACTTTCCATCCAAATTTCAGGCCATGATGGCAACGCCAGCCTGTGACCCACTTGCAAAGCGGCAAGCACTCAAAAAACAAGTGTTCCAAGTGGTTGGGCCATCCATGCGAGATCGCGGGCAAATCTGCGCATGCCTTTGGCATGCGACAGACTTCTTCTTTACAAGTCGCTTATAAAAATTGAGTCCATCGCAGCCCACGTCTCGGTTTG